TGTAGGAGTTTACATGAGAGTTTTACAAGGAATTAGATACAGTAAAGAATTAGGAAAGTATCTCCTAATTGTACAATAATTTATCACTTACATAAAAATAGGAAAGTAAATTCCTTAATTAATCAAGGAGGTAAATCTCCTTGATTACTTAGGAGACCCACGTCAACACTCCTTCTCAAGTTGGTGCATATATGTCACCAATGCCCAACTTGGTAAGTGAGTCATGAAATACTCTTCCACAAACAGCTTTGGTTAAGATATCTACCAGCTGATCTTCTGATTTAACGAATGGTAGGTGAATGATCTTTTTCTCAATTTTTTCTTTGATAAAATGTCTATCCACCTCAACATGTTTGATTTGATCATGTTGAATTGGATTATGGGCAATATCAATAGCTGATTTGTTGTCACAATGCAACTCCATTGGCTTTTGTAGCTTAAAGCTCAATTCTATCAAGAGTCTTCTGATCCACAATAATTCATAAACTCCGTGAGCCATTCCTCGATATTTTGCTTCTGCACTAGATCGAGAAATCACATTTTGCTTTTTTACTCCGCCAAGTGACTAGGTTACCTCCCACTAATGTAAAGTACCCTGAAGTAGAGCGTCTACCTATAATGGAACCAGCCCAATCAGCATCTGTGTATCCAACAACTTCAAGATCTCCATTTTTTGAGAACTTTAATCCTTTCACAGGGGTTGACTTTAAGTATCTTAAGATCCGATCAATTACATTCCTATGAGAAACATTGGGCAAATGCATAAACTGACTAACTACACTCATAACATATGCAATATCTAGTCTTGTGTATGCCAGGTATATCAACCTTCCAACAAGGCGTTGGTACTGTTCCTTATTGGTTGGTTCTTGATCCATGTCTTCACACAACTTATGATTCATCTCAATGGGTGTGTCAGCTGGCTTACATCCAAGTATTCCTGTTTTAGTGACTAGATCCACTACATACTTCCTTTTAGACATAAATATACCAGCTTTTGATCTTGCTACTTCAATTCCGAGAAAGTACTTCAGATCACCTAAATCCTTCATCTCAAATTCCTGAGACAAATACTTTTGCAACTTCAGTTGCTCTTCTGTGTTGTTTCCAGTTACGATTATGTCATCTACATAAACAATCAATGTAGTAAGTTTTCCTTCATCACGCTTCAAGAACAGGGTGTGATTTGAATTATTTTGTGTATATCCAAAATTCTTCATAGATTTAGTAAATTTGCCAAACCATGCCCTGGGAGATTGCTTTAACCCATATAATGACTTTCTGAGCTTCCAACTTGATTTTTCTTGTCATAAGCTAAATTACATCATGGGGGTAAGTCCATGTATACTTCTTCTTACAAGTCTCCATGTAAAAATGTATTTTTGACATCAAACTGATGTAGTGGCCAATTGAGATTTACTGCTAGAGACAATAGGACTCTAATAATGTTAATCGTGGCTACTGGGGCAAAGGTCTTCTCGTAATCTATCTCATATCTCTGTGTGTACCCCATCACCACCAATCTAGCTTTATATCTTTCAACAGATCCATCTACTTTGAGTTTCACAGTATCCACCTGCATCCTACTATCTCCTTTCCATGAGGTAAGGGCACGAGTTCCATGTGACATTCTTTTGGAGAGGTCGCACTTCTTCATTCATAGCTTTTTTCCATTTTGGGTATTCTAGTGCTTTAGTTACACTGTTGAGGACAAATATGTCAGTCTACTGCTTCACATAGTGCAACGTGACTCTGATAATCTGCTGAAAGATATATAATTATTGATGGGGTATTTCCCTTTGGCTTTAAGATATGCTTCATATTGTACTCAAGGTTTGCCACGGTTCTTCCTTTCTGGAAGCAGATATATAGGATTTGTGCCTTCTGAAATCAAATCATCATTGGATATTTCATTAGTGTTATCAATTTCAGGAAAAGATGTTACCTGAATGACTTACTCGGCAGGTGATTGGTGCAGTACTGGAGTTGAAGTGGGCAAAATCTCATAAAACAGTTCAATTTTCTCCTCCTAATTTTGACAGCATGGAGACAACTGATCGTTTTCCTCTGGCGACCGGTCACTGTCTGCTAGCTTCCGATCATTTTGAAGTAGGTTCTCTGTAGTTGAAGAACTAAGGGGAGGTGACCGATTGCTTTCCACTGGCAATCGATCATTTTGATGCAGAGTGATGTCCTGGGGAAAAAAAATCGAGAATTGGAGCAGTGGTGGATTCTCGATTCTCCTCCTAGGCTGTTGAAAAATATAAGTAATGTTCTCGAAACACAACATCTATGGAGGTGAATACCTTTTGACTAGGAGGATGATAACACTGGTATCCTTTCTGATGAGGTGCATAGCTAATGAAAACACACTTTTCGGCTCTGGGATCCAATTTACTTCGTTGGTGATCATGTAAGTGGACAAATACAACACAACCAAAAATTTGGGGTTCCAGGTTTAGGGTGGGAGGTGTTTGGATATGGTGGTGAAGTGTTTGAAGTGGTGTTTGGAAATTTAGGATACTAGAGGGAATCCAATTGATAAGGTATGCTGCAGAGACGACTGCTTCGCTGCAAAAGGATCGTGGCATATTGGCACCAAAGAGAGAGGCATGAACGACTTCCAATAAGTGTTTGTTTTTTCTTTCAGCCACCCCATTATGTTGGGGAATGTAAGGGCATGAGCGTTGATATATGATGCCATGATCTTGTAAGAACTGGTTAAGATCATGGTTGAGAAATTCTCCACCATTGTCAGAACGAAGAACCTGAATTCTGGCATGAAACTGAGTCTCCACTATTTGATAAAACTATTGAAACCTGGAATTGACTTCCCCTTTAGTTTTGAGAAGGGAAACCCAAGTCATGCGTGTGCAATCATCTATAAACGTGACAAACCATCGCTCCCTTGCGGAGTGGCAATTTTAGCAGGTCCCCAGACATCAGAATGAACAAGGGAAAATGGAACCAAACTCCTATTTGAACTTAATGGGAACGGGACATGATGGCTCTTAGCCAATTCACACGTATCACACTAGAAGCTGGAAACATCAAGACTGGAAAATAATGATGGAAACAACTTCTTAAGATAACCGAACGAGGCATGCCCAAGACATTTATGCTGTAACCAAATTTTGTCTCTCTCCCCCTCAGAACGAGTTCCACTGGTTTTGAAAGCTTGACCAACCTTGACCTCATTATCTGGTGTCCAATCTAAGTAGTAGAGGTTGCCCCGTCAAGTACCACAACCAATCGTCTTTCCTGTGAGGATGTCTGAAAAACACAATGATTTGGCCAAAATGTTACGGTACATCCCAAAGTAGTAGTAAGTTGTACAACAGATAATAAGTTATGGTCCAAAGGTGGAACAAGCAATACAAAATCCAGATTTAGGGAAGTAGAGAGAGGTAGAGAGCCCTCCCTAACCACAGGGGAGGGGGTACCATTAGCATTAGACACCGCTACAGAGTGGATGATTTGCGACTAATAAGTTGGCTAGGATCAAAGGTCACGTGATCCGTAGCACCCGAGTTAATAATCCATGCGGATTTTTGAGATGACGTATGAAAAGTAGAGCCTTTGATGGTGGCGATAGAAGCATGAGTACGAGTAGCCGGGTCAGCAGGATTGATTGTATGCTTCTTTGAGTCTGCAATAAGGGGGAGAATTATAGGGGTTCTTGACATTGCAGCGGAAGTAAGAGGTGATATGAGAATGTGAGAAATTGTGATTTGAGGAATTTGATGTATGAATTTGATGCAGGAATTGGATTTGAAAGGTATGTGTATAAGATTTGAGGGTATGTGTTTAGGGATTTTGATAAGAGGATTTGAGGACTTTAGATTTGAGGGATTTGGATTGGGGGAAAAAATATGAGGAATTTGATTTTGGGTTTTGAATTTAAATATGAGAAATTTGAGATAAGGGTTTAGAGACAACGTAGAATCGATTGCTCTGATACCATGCTAAAATATGAATATGGGTTGAACGTATTGGGTTGTGTTTTATTCTTCTCCATAAGGAGGTATATATAGGAGTTTACATGAGGGTTTTAGAAGGAATTAGATACAGTAAAGAATTAGGAAAGTATCTCTTAATTGTACAATGATTTATCACTTATATAAAAATAGAAAAGTAAATCCTTTAATTAATCAAGGAAATAAATCTCCTTAATTAATTAAGAGACTCATGTCAACAATTTCGAGGAAATGTTGTTAGCATTCGCACTTCATTATCAACAATGTCCATGGAAGTATAATTTTGTCAAGTTTCCATAGTTTGTACAGACAGTCGGTTCATACAATAATTCAACTCATGTGTGCAAAGCATGGCTGTAGTCCATGTTTTTCTTCAAATTCACACGGTTTGGAAAATGATAGTGAAATTAACAAGTAACTACTAATTGTGATGTTTCATTGAAACAAAGCGGTTCATTCATTTTAGACTTATACGACTGAATGTAGATTGTTTCTAGAGGTTTGGACAAAATGAAGCATCCAAAAACAAAAGGAAACCCAAAAAAAAAAAACACCACAATATATAGTGAACAACACGTATGGAAAAAGATATTCATACGTATACTAAATTGCGTGAAGTCCATGAGACAAGGAATTTGTAGCTCAAGTGATTAAAAACATTTACTTTTATATCGATTCTAAATTAGATTACCCCTCTCCAACTATCGCTTGTATCAAATAATAAAATAAAAATAAAAAGCTCGGGCCATGAACTGTGCGGGCTGTCGTATTATATTGATATTAAACAACACATTATTACTTAAGAATTCAAGTTATGCTTTTTAGAAATTCACATAATCGAATATCTAATGCACATTTCCTGCCTTGGTAATTAAAAAAAAGGGATACCCTATCCTGACAAAGCAGCGAGGTATTAAATTGGTTCATTAATATGGCCAACTTGTCTCCAAACACCAACATTTTCATACAACGTATATATATATAGTATGCAGGCAGCATTTAGATACAACAGAAGCGGTATTGAGCAGCAGCTAAAGAAGCAGAGGAGCGATGAAGCTTTTAGTCAAAATTGTAATGATGCCCTGCGGAGAATATTTTGGAAGGAAATGGAATTTACTTGACATAGTCACCGCAGCTGTGTTTCTCACTATGCATTGCCTTTGTGTGATGGCGCCGTTTCATTTCACCTGGCCTGCGTTTTGGGTGGCCGTTGCTCTCTATGTTGTGACGGGGGTAGGAGTTACTCTGTCTTTCCACAGACATCTTGCTCACAGGAGCTTTCGTATTCCGAAATGGCTCGAGTACTTGTTTGCCTATTTCGGGGTTCTCTCACTTCAGGTATGTAAATGTCAATGTTGAGCAACAAAATTTTGCTTAGCTTTAGCTCTTTTCTTTTTGTTTCAGGGGCTATTTTTATTTGATGTGTTTGTTCTTCTTCTTTTGGTTTTTGTAGGGAAGTCCAATAGAATGGGTGAGCTCACACCGATATCACCATCAGTTTACTGATACCGTGAAAGATGTTCATAGCCCTCTTCAAGGTTTTTGGTTTAGTCACATGGGTTGGATCCTCGATAGCGGCTCTCGGTTTGGAAAAGTAACCAAAAACACACCCAACTCTCTCTCTCTCTCTCTCTCTCTCTCTCTAAAATACATTTACATACACCAACACAGTGCACTCATTTTGTTCAACTCTTCAATGGAAATTGTTGCAGTATGGAGGACTGAAGAACGTTGAAGATTTGAAAAGGCAAGCCTTCTATAGGTTTCTTCATCATACTTTTCTCTTGCATTCTTTTCTGCTTGGAACTTTACTCTATGTCGTCGGTGGATTGCCCTTCTTGACATGGGGAATGGTGAGATATTTTGCTCCTTGTCTTGTTTTCTTTTTTTATAATTACTCGTTCTCTGTACTTTAATGGCTTTTTAATAGAATATCTTTTTGTATAATTAATTAAGGGCTGGCATGTACATTATTGTCGCATTAAAGTTTTTCATGGTTCATTTGATTGCCATAAAGTCATAAAGCCATACATCAATTTTCCCGTTAAAAAGAATCTTTATTTGTACATCAGTGTTCAAGTTCGAACTCCATCACATCTGATAGCGTGCATGTCAAAACATCCAATCCCCAGTACCACTTGTATATATATATTTTTTAAAGCTTGGAGTACTGAAGGTTAAATTATTCCTTGTCGACATTGTAGGGGATGAGGATGGTATGCCTTTTCCACATTACTATGTTAGTAAATTCGGCCGGCCACATGTGGGGACAACGAGTATATCACACTGGTGATACATCAAGGAACAACTGGTATATATTCTGCCCAATATCAACATCTAGCTATACTATCATTTTTTATTATATGGAAATTGATGAGGGATTTTAACTATCTTTTTTTTTCTTCTTCAATTAGGTGGTTGGGATTGCTTGCACTTGGAGAAGGATGGCACAATAATCACCATGCTTTTGATTACTCAGCTCGACAAGGTTTTGAATGGTGGCAGATTGATGTTACTTGGTATGTAATAAGATTTCTTGAAGCAATTGGATTGGCAACAGATGTGAAAACTCCAACTGAGGCACAGAAGGAAAGAAAATCTTTACACCATAAAACCATGGCTACTCAGAATTAGGCTTCAAAGCAGCTTCCTATCCGCCATAGACAGAAATAGAAGTTTGATGTGCTTCTTTTTTATTTTTTATTTTTTTTTGTTTGGTCAAGGATGTGCTTCTTAGTATTCAAATCGTTTGTGTACCGAGTTTAGATCTCAAATTATGTGGCAGATACCACTCACGATCGCATATTTATATAATTACTAAGTTGAATTGAATGATGTTCCATGTCTTTATCGAATGATTTTTTTTTTTTTTTTGGGTCTGAAATTCATGTTGTATTCATAAAACCCCAAAACAGGAATAGAAATACAAATAGAAGGCAAAAGCCACAAGGAGCTAGCAGAACACCAGAACAAACTAACAAAAGCAGAGTCAGACATAGCTAGATTCCACCGGAGCCTAGAACAACAGTCCCTCCCCAGCAAACTAGCCCCTAATAGGAATTAAAACTAAACTGCAGAAGCAACAAGAGGTGGACAAGGCAAACCATCAGAAGTTAACACCCCAACGAGAGACAATGGTGGTCTGTCGACCTAACTTTGCAGTTCCATAGCTCTGTTACTTATCAACGCCGCTGCATGAGCCGCGCGATTTGCACTCCTAGGCACCCATGACCAAATCACCTCTTCGAAACTCGAAACCATATCATGGATTTCGTCAATAAGAGGAAGGATAGCCCATGAGTTGTTATCATGATTTCCAGTGATGCCATCAATTAACACCTTGCAATCTCTCCAAGATGACTTTCATAAAACCCCCGTTTGTAGCAAAAAGTAAAGCACAAAGAGCTGCTGCCGCTTCTGCACTAAGAGATGAAACACATGAAAGTGGGGAGGCAAGACCACCACACCAATCCCCAGAGAAATTACGTGACACAATGCCAATGCTGCTCTTCATTGTGCCAGGAAGCCAAGAGCCATCCAAGTTGAATTTTACGTAGTTTGGGCCTGGTTTAGACCACTGGGTTCCTTGGACATGATGGACAGGAGAGAGGTTCCCTCTAACATCAACCTTGGAGACAACCGCTAATTATTCAGAGCAAGCATCTCTAGCATGAGTGATCACAAGCCTCGGATCAGGGCTAAACCCATTAATGATTGGTTTTGAAATGTAAACAAAAATCCATGACTTTTTCACTTTTAAGTAAAAAAGTAAAAAAAACCAAATTTGTCCATATATTGCAACTTGCAAGTCAGTACTTTTTATTAAGTCATAAAACCATGCAGGAATTTAGTTAGTAAAAACAAAAAGACTGTCATAAAACTTAAAGTAGTGTCGACAGGCCTAGTCCAGCCCACTTAGAAAAGTATATTGACTTCCTTTACATAGGTGACGTGATATGTGTTTATAAGAGCATGCCATCAACCCCTTTCTTTACGTACATACAATAATTTACCTAATATACTTCATAAAAGGCAGGCACATATATATTACTCATAAAAGGTACGACATATAGTTTGTAGTGGGTACGCTATTCAAAAAAGGACCTTAGCCACATATACTTTCTTTATTTAACTTCAACTAAGCCATCATTTTCCTTTATCTTAAAAAAACTAAGCCATCATTTCTCCTGTGTCGAAGTGTATAATTTCCAGATCCTGACAAACCCATTGGCGGACCCAATGAAGGATTACTGTGGGTACTTGTCCACACTTATAACAAATTTGTAGCGGTATAATCCCACACAAAATCATATTTTTTAATTTTTTTAGGTCATTCTTAGGTGAAGCCCCCACATAACCCATTCAATACATACTCTTTAAACCCCAAACTTATATTTTTTAAAAATGAGTTTTTTTTATAGTGATGGTCTCTAAACTATACCCATAGTTATATTTTGGTCAATCGACTCCACAAATAGCTACAGAGGTTCCCCCAATTATGTATGGTGTTGCATTACTAATCCCTTTCGTCAAGTCTGTCTATTTTTCCGTTAAATCCATGGGTAAACTTGGAAATTCATTCCAAATATTTATAAAAACGAAATAACAAAAAATAAATAAATAAGGGTTATTTGTAGCAATGGTCACTCAACTATACTCGGAGTTACATTTTGGTCACTCAACTCCAAAAAATAATTACAAAGGTCACTCAATTAGGTGTTATGTTGCACCATTAGCCCCTACCGTCAAGTCTTTCTAACAGTAGGGACTAATGGTGCAATGCAACACTTAATTAAGTGACCTCTGTAACTATTTTGGGAGTTGAATGACCAAAATGTAACTCCGAGTATAATTGAGGGACCATTGCTACAAAAAAAAAAAAAAACCTATGTTATAAAAGAAGAATGGGTAAATTGCTCAAATGGTCCTCAAACTTATACTCGATTTATATTTTGGTCCATCAATTAAATTATTTGTTCAAATGATCCATCAACTCTATATTATTCACTCCATTGGTCCTACCATTACATTCAGTCAATATTTCCGTTAAATATGAGGGCAAATTGGTCATTATTTACCCTAAAATTAGGTTAAATCTAACAGAAAATTAGACGGTAGGACCACTGGAGTAAATAATATAGAGTTGATGGACCATTTAAACGAATAATCTTGTTGAGGGACCAAAATGTAAATCAGGTATAAGTTTGAGGACCATTTGAGTAATTTACCCAGAGAAGAATAGTGAACTTAGCCACCAAATTCACTTTAAGCCCACATATTTTTTTTGTGGCTATATATAGGTTGGATTTTTTTTAAAGTCTGCTCTTGGGTTTTGAGGGCGATAGAGAATGCAACCTCATTTGTTCAATAAAATCATGCACGATGTTTGTAATTACGACACATAATTCGTTCAGAAGTACGATGCTCTTTCGGGTCTTCTTTCGGAGCAAAACCTTACAACGCGTCTTTATGGCTGCTTGCGTATGGCGCATTTGCAGATCAAGTGGATGAGATTGCTAGGATTGAGAAATCCACTATCCTAGAGTGCTTGGTCAGATTTTGTGACGAAATTGAAACTATCTACATGCACTACTACAAAAAAGGAAAAAGACGACGGGAATTCACCGTTGTTTATTCCCTTTTCAAATGATCGTGAAATCGACTGACATCTTTTCCCAAATCAAACCACGACGCTAAATCACCGTCGTTGTTAAAACAAACAACGTCATTAACAAATAATAACCGACGTCTTTGTAATGGAAAAAGAGATTAAAAAAAACAGTCGAGGATGAGAATAGACGACCAATTCTAACAAAAAAACGTCGTTAAAAAGGAAATATATGACATATATTAACAAAACATGGCCGCAAGATATACATACAACGACGAGAACTAAAACTCACCGCCGTTAAATATACCTTTCACGACAAATAAAAATATGACGTCTTTAAATACATAATCCACGACGTTATTGACTCCTACTACGTCACTACATTTTCAACAACCATCGTGAAATGAATTTTCCACTTCGATTTTTCTATTAATGATGACGTGAAAATAGATGTTAGGGTCATTACTTACGACGCATATATTTAAACTGACGACGTTGTACTTAAACAACGTCGGTTCCAAATAAATGAGAGCCGTATTCTAGAATTTATACGTCATCTTTTAAAATATAATCGTCGTCTAATGAATCTGAGACGGCAACGTTTCTCAGTCTACTGCCGTGTAAAATAGTTTTAACGACACGATTTGAAAATAAATGACGTGGAAAATATGTTGGGGTCATTACTTACGACACATTAATTTATAAAGACAACGTTGTCGTCAATATACAACATCATTATCATGCAAAAGACAGCCGTGTTTCATAATTTATACGTCATCATTAACAAAATTACCGTCGTCTAATTCCCATTAGACAGCGTTGTTTATCTGAAATTTGCCGTGTAAAGAAATTTTAATGACATTATCATAAGAAAAGAGACGTGGATACATTCATATAACATTGTTTTTGTAAAGGAACGACGTCCAAATATATCTTAACGTCAACAAATTTACCAATGGATTTAAAATACCGTCGTAAATTCATCCTTTTCCACTTCGTTTATGAAAGAACATGCGACGTGGTAAAGTTAAGACGACGTCGTCTTTTTTAACGTTCAGGTTAGATATCTCGTCTTTTAGACGTCGGTATTAT